CCCCCTGGAGAAGACAATTAGCTGGTGGACAATTGGTTGGTGACAATTAGTTGGTGACAATTGGTTGGTAACAATTGGTGGGTAGCGATTGGTTGTTGGCAATTGGTGGGTGACAATTTGTCGACGACAATTGGTTGGTGACAATTGGTGTGGATGACAAGTGGTTGGTGACAATTGGCGGATGGCAATAGGTTGGTGGCAATTGGTGGATGGCAATTGGTAGGTGACAATGGATGGCAATTGGTTGATGACAATTAGTGGATGACAATCAATAGGTGACAATTGGTTGGTGGCAATTGGTTGGTGACAATTGGTTCATGACAATTGGTGGATGGCAATTGGTGGATGACAATCGGTAGGTGACAATTGGTTGGTGGCAAGTGGTTGTTGACAATTGGTTGTTGAAAATTGGTTCATGACAATTGTGGGTGGCAGTTGTTGGTGGCAAGTGCTTGGTGGCAAGCGGAGGGCGGGAGGAGGAGGCGGAGGGCGGGATACAACACTAAAAACACACAAAAACCCCACACGTCAATGCGGAGAATAAAACCTGAGAAGGGGGGGACGAAAGCCAGCAGCCGCCAGACAAGTGTCTCTTTTTCTGGCGGGCGTCGCGGCACAAGACACATCGGCAGCTTGCGAGTCAGCGGCGCTGCGGATGCGGGGGGGCGTATGAAATGTTGATGGAGGGAGCAGAGAAGCAAGCCGGGCGGCTTTGGCATAAGTTTGGTATGAAAGATGATACGTTGTATGTTCGTGTAGGTCATCATCACAAGGCAATGGCATGTGTTTGTCACGCGCAGGAAGGTATGCATCTTATGGAAGTTGGAAGGCGACATCAGCGTTAGCGGAAGGGAATACCGTCCGAGTTCGAGTGGTGGGATACCACGTGTGCGCGCGCGCGCCGCGCGCGCGCAGGAAGACCTTCTCCATAGTCAGCGTCGCCGCGCGCGAGCACGGCATGCGTTTGAAAAGAAGCAGTTATGTGACATGTGCTTGTTACATTTGGGGTGTTTGAAGTTTGCAATGCATACTGCGGCACGTCGAAAAGCGGCATTCGTTGATTTGGAAAAGTGAACGGGCACGTCTTAGCCGGGACACGGACGTTTGATCCCGCGGCGCGGAAGGGAGGTCCAGCGGGAGTAGCCTGACCTAGCAAAGGAGTGAGGATTTGCGCGCCTATCGATGCACATGCCTGGACTTGAGTGAGTCATGTTCTGGCTCGATCCAAAACACAGTCTTTTCCTCTAAAGGGGCCTTTACTAAGCGATCCAAACACCTTCTTTATTCTTCTCTTTCTTATCAACTCTGCGCCTTTCTCACTCAGAGGCCTTGACTTTGGCACCTGCGTGTGCAGATCTTTGGGCCGTGGACCCAGGCTGACTGGATTCGGCCAGGGCTGCCAGCAAAAAGGCAACGTCATGAGTCGGTAGTATATAGAATTTATCTATCTATCTATCTATCTGCACCGGCAAGCCGGAAAAACGTTCGGTGCATGTGGACGCCGCGAGAAGCATCCACTCGACCGAGGACATGGTGCAAGTATAGCTTTTGCTAGGGGGCAGGAATCCCATGCGGATATGTAGTCAACCTCGCAGCGTCCCCACCGAAATTCAATCCAAATTCAGGGACTCGAACTCATGTCACTTTCGGCTCTCTGTGGATTTCGCGAGTTACTGGGTTGTCCTGGGAACTCGTATCCTACATTGTCCTACATCCGGCTGCGTCTGCTCTGTACGTGGGTCCAAATAGCCTCCAAAGCCCTTCATGATGCTAATGATGCACTACTCAGCGTCATTTACATCACTCGCATCACCAAACCCCATTTTCACTGCTTTTCTGACCCTCGCTTTGGAGCGGTTCGCCCTAAAAGCCTAGCCGATCGGCTGGCTTTCATAATATATTCTTCATGAAGTGGCCCGAAAACACTCGAACTCACCAGAAACGAGGCCAGCCTCAGTTTGGTTGACCCAGCCGCCCCTCTCAGGAAATCGCCAGGGCACAGCAATGACGGACATGCTTGTTTTTCGGTGCCCGGCCGTTGACGACCCCCAAGAGCCGCAACAGGAACCGCAGCAGTGGCAGTGAGCGCTCGGAGCGCCATGCCACGTCAGCCAGGAGCTCTGCAGCATCCAACCAACCTGGACAAACGATTCATTCAGGAACCACCGGCTTTAGAGATGAATGAAGGCAGGACGGGGAACTCCCTCCAAAAAGAGAACCCAACATGTCAAGCGCATCGAAGCTGGAGTAATGATTAGGAATACGTATATACTACCAAACAAAAACAGCAAGGAACACGCAGCAATGGCCCATTTCGGTTGCTTGAAGTCAGTGCCAAGCTTGCCAGGAGTTCAGGACATTGCTGCAGGGCCAAGTCCATGTTTGTTCACCCAATAAAACTAACATGAGCACAATCAGCTCACTCAGCAGATATTCTAATCTGTCATGTTGATCAAAATTCCTTTTGACAAATTAAGCCGGATTGAGACAGCCGAATCAAGCGACATTCAACCACTTCTTTGGAGTCCTTCTGGGCTCAGACCCGTTACTGAGATTCTACCCCAGTCTAAGAAACCAGAAACCCAAACACTCTGCTAGTCATCTTCTTAAGCACTTCAAGGTTTTTCAGTCGTGAAGCACTTCCTACCGCCTCGCTTTGACTCTCCGGCAACCGGCACACGCACGTTTTCGTGCCTGTGGCGCTGCGTCCACCCTGCACGTCGACCCCGTCCAGCAACTGCTCGGCGACGCGGAGCAAGGCGGTTTCCGCGGCCGTGGGCTCTAAGGACTTGAGGATGGCCTGGGCGGTTGAGGATGACTCCTTAGAGATTACACAAACTCTTCAAACTGAATTGAGGGTGATTGCAGATACGCAAAAATACAAAGTCTTCTCATATCTTCTCATGGAGATCATTCATCTGGGCCAGATTGAAGGTTCAGACAGAAACACAAAGAAGCTTCTGTTACCTTCAGCATGCTTGTGGCCATACTGATGAACTTCTTCTCTACCAGTGGGTCCGGATATGCTCGAAACATATGGTCAACGGCCAGGTGTTTTTTGTTGAACGTTCCAACAGTCAAGAGAAGTTCTTTTGAGTGGCAGAAAGTGGTGATCCTCGAAGAGTCCCTATAGACTCTATGAAATCTCTATGACCTCAAGGCTTCTCAGAACTGATCCCACATGTCGTTCACCAGAAACGATCTGGCTGTGGATCTGTTGGCTTTCGTTGGGATCGTCTTTCCCTCCGCCCACAGGCATCACAGTCTTCGAGGGCGGGGTGGAGCACCCCGCCATCGCACCCAACCAGGGCACAAAAGGCGCAAAAGGCATGGTCTGCAAGTGGAAGATAAAACCCTTTATAGTATTTTATAGTGATCCCCATATGGATAGAAATGGTCTCCAATACATGTTTAGTGGGGATCTGCTTTTCTATCTATTTTGAGGTCTGTATAAAGTCTCAGGAGCCTTCGGCCCTTAGGTTGATGACCGCTCGAAGCTCCGTCGGGGCCCACGCCAAGAGCTTCGGCACACCATTGCGGGCGGCGAGCTTCGTGCCGCTGAGATGGTGAGCGAAGGCACAGAGGACCTGAGATGGTGAGCGGGGAGAAATCGATCATTTCCCCCAGAAACGTAGCAAAACGTAGCAAACCCATCGGCACAGGCCTCCAACCAATTTGCATGCCTGGATTGGCCTCGTAGTATAGATATCTGGCACCACACAGTGACCGATGCGTTTCCCTCTCCAACAAAAGCCGGCGTATCTGTCTTTGGAGTAAAGACGGGTGAACGTCCAGTTTCATTGGTCCCAAAAGCACAGGATTCACATGACTTCGGAACTTTGCACGCTGGTTCAGTTTGGAAAATGCCGCTTCAAGTTGACCACGCGGTGACCTGAACCCCTGCCATTACCTTCCTCGCCTTCCTCCTTTTCCACTCTCCCTCGGAGTTTCCCACCTGCGCCACGAAATCTCCATCCGACAGGCCTCACGAGAGGATGTTTCGACCGGGTTGGTAGAAGAAGAGTGGCTCTGCCGATGGAACAGGGTATCTCATGGAGTTGCCGCGCCTCTCTTCCGCTCTTTTGGGCGCATGCCGGAGGCACGCATGCCGGATCCATCCGACTTCCCCGTGACCGGACTCGGAGGCCAGTCTCCTTGGGTGACCAATCTTGTTCCGGATCCTAGTAGTAATGCCCTTTGTCACGTTCGTCGCGATGCCCTTGCTCCTAGTAGCTTCTTGTTCGTAGCAAGAGGTCGGCCAGTCTCCCAGCTTCGGCCAGTCTCCACTCCCGGAAGCACTTCTCATCGCCGTTTTATGAACGTCATTGTCCAGGCCTGTGCCCTCACAGGCCACACTGGAGGAGGGTTGCGTCATCCTGCGCACAACACAGGCAGTGCAGGGGGTGCATTCCGGGTAGCTCCCAAAATCCAAGGATTCACAAGCTGGGCAAATGGACATGGCTAAAGAATTCCACCGGGGAGTTTGCAGACGTGAACATTCACGAGGGCGGTGCCCTATTTGGAGCCATAGCCCCTTGGATTGATTTCGGCATGATGTCAAAACAGGCTCGCCACATTCCAAAAATAAGAAACCAAAGCAGGACCGCTGGACCCTTCTCCTGCTTGACCTTCGCCCCGATGCACCCGTGCGGATTGCGGTTGCCGTTCGCGTTTGCGTTCGCGGCTCGCGTTTGTGGCTGTGCAGGGCCGCGCGAACGTTGTATTTCGGGACGTTCCAAGCAACGAACGGACGGCCAGATCTCAAAAACTGAGCACCCCAGGCAGCCCAAGAGGCCCCCCTCTCTCAAACATGGAAAAGGGTTCATGTTGCGCCCAGACACTGGGCCGGCACTGGGCTTCCAGAATCGAGACAAGTAGATCGGGTAAGGTTTCTCGGGGTAGCTGTGATTGCTGCAGATTCTGCATCGCAGGCAAACCCAGGACGAAAGGGTGGCTCCGCTGATTTCGCTAGAATCTATATATATATATATATTCTTCATCCCAGTGCCTGGTGATGGAGAACCTGCACCGGTAGACCCAGAGAGGGCAAAAACACGAAAGGACACTTAAAATGATTCGACACGCTTTTGTTCACTGCCAACTGCCACACCTAAATGCAACAAATACGAACGATACTTTGCTTCACACCTCTACATGAGGAGTTCAGGGCTTTTACATGTAAAAATGAGCTTTTTCAGACATTCAGCTTTTCCGCCCTTGAAACCCGCTCCTTCCCAATACCTTCTTTCTCTCCGTTTCCTCGCTGCCCCGGAAGGCCGGCGCTCGTCCACCCACGTGTGTGGGGCGGAGATGGCGCCGTGTTCTTCGCCAAGCAGTTCGGGCCACAAATGGCAGGTCCGCACGGATGCAAAGACCTGCGTGCTTCGCTGCGTGCCAGACCTGCAGACCTTCCGAAGGATGGCGTGTAAAGCCGCAAAGATCCAAAGATTCCAAAGCTCCTTGATCGAGAGGCACGTGTTGCCAGAGTCTCACACACAAAGTTGACTGATCACCAGCTCCAAATCATCCCTCAAAGGCTCTGCCATGCCTTCTATAGCGAGGATGACACAGAAAGAATGAGAAAGAACCGCTACAACGATTCCTCTATGAGATCTGTTCCGAGCTCAAACTCCTCAGTCATGCCTAAACTCCTCCGGGCTTCCATGGCCAGCTCCGACATCCTGGGCGTGGGACGGAGGTTGTTGAGCTGAAGCTCTTCGTCCAACTGCACGATCCACGCGGACGCTTCGGACGTGTCTCCACACGATCCACGCGATGCGAGCGCTTCGGCCACGGCTTCGAAGGTCTCGGGGCTTGGAGACAGCTTGGCCAAGTACATCTCGTCCAGTAGGCCTGGCCCGGAAAGCCATAGGGCGGCAGGCTTTGAAACGCGGCAACAAGGAAAAACAAACATCATGGACCCTGAAAATGGGCTTGTGAAAAACCATTGATTGGACTCTGTAAAATTATCATCGTTCCATGTAGAGCTCATGGAAGGTCATCCAACGGCGCGGCCCAGCCTAACACTTCACTCCAGCTCGGCCCCTGGCCACACGCACGGATCAGTTCAGTATAGGCCTTCACCGTCATCCTCGCGCCACGTGGCAGGCGTTGCAGGCGTCGGTGGGCGTGAAGGGCCAAGTGCCAGTGAGCACCCCGGGAGAGCGCCGTGATGGCAGGGGGAAAGGTCCTCTCCTGCAGTGCTGCGTAAAAAGGGTGTCGACATGCCGTGTTGTTGTATTTGGTTTGGAGGCCGCAGAGCGCCCGAAAAAAAAAAAAAAAAAAAAAAAAAAAAAAAATATGTATATATATATATACATATTTATATATATATATATATAAAGAAATACAAAAAAGTGGAAATGCATAATATTATACAATAATGCATCTTTATATAATCATGCCAAATATGTATATATTATATAATTATTTATCTATATATATATATTGGATTATATTTATGATTGTATAAAATATACCTTCTATCTGGAGAAATCGATCCATATTGTACAGGAGAGTCACCAAGAACTTGTCGGCTTCACGTCGAGATCTCTCTTGGCTGATCTCCACGAGTTGCATTGACCTCTCCCAATCGCACGCTTCTGATGCCTCACACGCTTCTGCTGCCGCAGTATAGGATCGCACCAACTTGCTGATTCCACGACCACGAATCAGCTCCAGACGCCAAAGTGCCTGCGGCCAGGTGCCAAGTTTGCTTTCGCTTTTGACTACCGCAGCAAGAGTTCCATCGTAGGGCCTCACAGACCAGCTCAACATCTGCTGGAACAAGTCCATGACAGCACGTGCAGGCTCAACCTCATCCAAGTCTTGCTTGCAACATGCATGCATGGCGGCAGTGCATGCCGCAGCGCGCACTTCCAACTTCCGGTCTTGCCTAGGTCTCGAACAAAAGGCCATGGGGGGTCGGCGGTTCCAAATTGACAAGTCAAAAGGTTTGCTGGACTGGTGCCCAACATCCGTGAAAAGGAGAGGTTGCTAGACATGACACAAGCAGATCATCGAGTGCTCCACGAGCATTCCACATAACCCCAAAAGAAGTGGACCAAATCATCCGCACTCTGCCACCAATTATGGTCATGTACCTCAAAAAGCACGTCTTTTGTCCTCTTTCCAGCCACTCTGTCTGAACAAACTACCATTTTCTAATGCTCCAAGCTGCATCACCTGCAGTAGCTGCAGCGCCCCTCGCCAGCCCGGCACTCCTCCCGCAGCTGCCCTCGTTTGCGCCTCCAGCGCGGCGGCGTAGATCTCCTCGGGCACTCGCATGCGGCGGCGCAGGTGGAGGTCTTGGAGCCATTGCACCTGAGCTCAGCTCCGGGTGGTGCACTGGTCACCCATCAGATTGTAGGGGAGCCGCCATCCGGGCAGAAACGAAGAGCGGCGCAAGACGATATGAAGAAATGGCCTTGACCTGCCACACTATTGTGATGCCAGCACAACCGCGCTGTGGCACAAACCCGCAAACGGTCAAAGCCAAGCATCTAGGAGGTCCACTGAAGCAAAACCTTCTCGAGGAGGCCAGGGTCCCAGAGCTGGAGTCCCACGACGAGATCCCAGGTGGGACTTCCAGAAGGGCTGCCGGGTGGCCAAACATGGTCCCGTCTCAGTGACCATGAAACTCGAAACATTGTCAATCTTGATGGGTCATAGTGAGGTCAGCGGTCAGCTTCTGGGCCACAAACGGCAGAACTTGAGAAATCAAAGTTTGGGGTCTCTGGCTGCAAGTAGGAGCACTTTGGTACCCTAAGGAAGTGGAAAAACACCTGTGGGGGAAAATGGTCATCCAGCGACCATTGTCCATTTCCATTATGATTTAGGGAGTGTACATTTGCCTTCAGCTCAACGTGGCGCAGACATGCCCGTCGGCCAAGCTCGCCTTGGGCCCCCTTTTCTCACAAACCTCACACGCCACTGGTCAATCTTTGCTCTCGATGAGGGAAAGATCCATCGTGAGGGCACGACAGAGTGAACCGAAGTACTCCCGAGCAAATTGGTAGAAGACCTCAGCAACACGAACGGAGCACCGGAAACCAGACCAATTCCGGAGGCTTCATGAGGCTTCATACGATGTCGTGCAAAAGATTCTGATCCAGAAATCAAGATTCCAGATTAAACATTACTAGTAACAAGAAGCTACTAGGGGCTCCTGGCCTTACTACTAGGAGCAAGGACGCTGCTAGGGGCTCCTGGCATCGCTACTAGTAGCAAGAAGCTACTAGGGGAACCAATCATTCGCACCCAAGAAAGTTCTTGACCACCCTTCATCCGTCCATCCGGGTGCCCTTGCACCCACATCCATCGGGCCGTCCCAGAGGTCGTCTGCCTGGGGCTCGCAAAGGGACGACCGGGACATAACAAAAAAGCGTGCGGCATATGCCAAGGCACGGGGCACCCTCTTACTTCCACGGACTCCATGGGCAAAAAGGGTACTGTAAGACTTGTAAGATTGATTGGATAAACTTTAAGACTTTAGCTGGACAACCTGCTAAAGAAAACCCACACCCTGCTCGCCACCGGCAGTGCCTCATCGGGCTCCACGGGCTCCATTTCACATCGCTGGCACACATGATTCCTGCGACGATTCGTTGATATTAACAGTTCTGAGATGAGTTGGGCAGGGGTGTTATCAAAGCCTTCGATGATGTCCCTCGCTTCTTGATTCAATGTTTCGATCTGTTGACACAGTTAGTGGTACAGGAGAAGTGGAAGTCCTGCACTGGTTTCACCATCTTGGGTACAGTAAGTCCTGCACTGTTTCCTTTCAAACACTGGTCGATGGATTAACCGAGATCGATGCACTGGTCGATCAGAGAACTGGAGATCGAAGCGTTGCACGTCGACGAAGGACTCCACTGAGTGCTTCAAAGCGGACTGAACTCACTCTCTGCTTCGAAGCTTTTGGAGAGCAGGTCGCTACGCGAAAAGACCCACACGCTCACTCTTTGCTCAAAACACCTGGCTTCGCCCCCATGGATGGTTCGATGATTAACACAAAACCATCCATAGCTGGGGGTTTCACACAACCGTGAGTTCCCGATGGGCCCCATGATGGACTGCCCCTGTGGGTGGGAGTTGACAGCGAAATCGCAGCGACACCATCAAATGGTTACCTTGTGATACGGTTGAATGAGGAACATATTCTTCAGTTGGACCAAGTCCTGCACTGGCCCTACAAATACTGAATTGACTGCATGTGTTTGTTTGACCTTTGATGAGCTGTCACAAAGATAGAATCCGCTGAATCTGCCAAAAAACGAGCCAAACAAAATGGCACGGAACTTCCAGCTCCAGGATGACCCGGTTCATCATGCTCTGCTCCATGGCGTTTCGGGCCACGGTTTCATCGATCTCTGAGCGCCAGGCAAGGCTGAGGAAAAGGACTGGACCTCGTAAAGCAACACCGGCGGTGTGAGGAACATCGACCCCCACAACTTTTGGGCAAAGCTATTGGTCACGCCAAAGCTCGCAGGTAGCCTAACAGTAGGGGCTCCTGGCATCGCTACTAGGAGCAAGGACGCTAGGGGCGCTCCTGGCCATACTGCTAGGAACAAGGACGCTACTAGGAGCAAGGGCATCGCTACTAGGGGCTCCTGGCATCGTTACTAGGAGCAAGGACGCTACTAGGGGCGCTCCTGGCCTTACTACTA